GGGGGGGGGGGGGGGGGAGTGTTTCTTCATCATCAAGGAGAGGACGTTTTGATGCAGTACTTTACTAAGGAAACATCTGTTCTTGCTTCTTACTGCAAACAGAGTCATATGTAAAGATGATAACGTATTGGTTAGTTCTGAATGGCAGACTTCTGTTTGAACTACTCTAAATGTCAATGGTTTTCTCTCCACCCTTTCCTGGTTCTGAAGGCCATAACTGAATGCTGCTAAGTTGAGATTTCCTTTCATATCTATCTACAGCTAAAGAAAAACTCATACATCAGTTCTATTAGTAATTAGTTGCCACTACACGCAAAGGTGTTTGTAATTTCTGTGTGTGAAAATTTTACTTTTTAACCTCTAATACGGTAACAGGGTTTACAGTAGCAGAAAGCTTCCAGTTTGCTTTGCTTGGCATATCCTGAAATAAGTATCCATATTGTATGTTCTCTCTAGATTCCTTCTTCCCTTCACCTAGTTTTAGGCAGTTCTTACTGTTCCTGGAAGTGATATCGTTATTGCCAGCTTTCCTTGGATATTATAGCTTAAGAGGTTTATTGATAAGAGGGATGAGATTCCCAATTCGTTGCTCTTAGTCTTTCTTAGTTTATTCCACCTGTCAGAGTTCAACTGTTGGATGGTAGAAACAAAGTGTTAGTAAGGCCTTCCGCATGCAAAAAGTATGGAGGTAAGTGTACTACTTGGACGTGCTTAGTAGCAACAAAAGTCACCTGTAGTTGTATCACTTTTCTTGTTAGGTAAAACTGATGCAAAATAGGAGCAGTGAAGTGGTGGATTAATTGGATCACCAGCACTAACAACAGGAAATAAATAGAATCTCTAGTGTCTTTAAGGCTTCTTTGTCAAAGCACATAATGCAGCCTGAATATATTATAAAGAAACTTAAAGAAATTGAACTTGGTAAGCTTGACTTTGTCAGAAGGTGAAATGCTAAAGGGATTTTTGAAGAACAGGGTTAAATAAAACATATCTCAGGGTGATGGAAACTTAACCTCCAGGTAGCATAGGTAGTAAAGGTCAAGTTAATTATTTGAGAAGAGAGGGAGAATGATAAAGCATCACTTTGGTCCTTTTGCATTGCAGGTTATTAAGCTGCAGTTCCATGCAGGCCCCCTCCTTCTCAGTCCTGGCACAGGTTTGTTTCAGCATACCAACATGTAGGAAACAAGCCTGGCAGCCAGAGCATTTGCTGGGTTACTGTGTGTGATTACTTCTCAGTGGAGGGTCTTGGTCACAGGAGGTGGCTGAAACATAACAGTAATGGGGAGAGGGATGGAGATATGACTCATCCGCTGGATTGCCTTAAGCAGCCATGAAAACCCATCCTGAGATCTCTCAAGCAGCTGGTGTCACTAACCTCTTCCAGTAAAGAAACACATGCATGACCATTTGTATATCTGAGCAGATCTAAACTAATAAGAGCAAATCTCCCAAAGAGAAAATCTCTTCTGCACAAGCAGTTATTGGCTGGCAGTTCTAATAAGATTGGGAAACTTTTTTCAAGACAGCCTTAGAACACAGCGGAATCTCTTTATATCTCTTTATTTTCTGTTACATTCAGCCTTTGTAGAAGTCTTGACTGTTAAAATGTACATGTAATAGCATTTGGTTTAGAGCCTCAACTGCAAGCTTTCTTTGACAATTTTCATTCATTCTTCTTTTTTTTAGTGGTTTGCCTCTTATGGTTATCATCCACAAGTCTTGGTGTGGAGCTTGCAAAGGTAAGTGTATTTAATACTAGAGCTTGCTGAAATTTTTCATGAACTTTTGTATACAAATCATGTATCCATGAGAAACATGAACTTTGCATTCAAAGAGTAGCTAATGGTATTTGTATTTCATTTAGAGCCATACAATAGCACACCGTTTTACCTGTTAGCACTGCCAAAAGCCAACCATGCCTAAATGCCAGCAAAATAACAGTGGTAATACTGCACTTCTATAGTGGCGGCAATTTCTTCTGCACTTGACTGTAAAATTGGAACAGAATGAATGATCTTCAAGAATTAAGTGTAAATTGCCTTACTTTCAGACTGTGATTCTTTGCAGGTGAGGCTTTGTCTCTTTCAGTATCACAAACAAACAAGCTGGGCATAATGGCTAAGCTTAAAGGTTGAGCTAGTTGGCTGGGAATAGTGGTTTACAGCAAGTTTTTTGCTTCTGTTCTGTTAGTTCAAATGTGACTCTGTATGTCTGTTGGCCAGGCTTCATCATGTGGCTGCTCAGCAAGAATTGCTTCAATTACCTGCTGTTCTGAGCCTGGCTTGAATGGTTTGATACATATATTCCATTTCCTCACTGCTTATTGAAAAGTGCTAGCTCTACAGAGGGAGGAGTGAAGTCGAGATTTTGATGATGACCTGAAAACTTGAAATCTTTTCCACGGTCTTTACACATTTCTCTTTTTTTTTTTTTTTTTTCCCTCCTCATCCTTAATTAGCTTTAAAGCCAAAGTTTGCTGAATCCAAGGAGATCTCTGAACTTGCCCATAATTTTGTTATGGTCAACCTTGAGGTAGGCTGCCCTCTGATTTGTATACATGTTACTGCCTAGTAGTTAAGCATTTGGAATCCTACTTAACTGGTTGCATCCTGTTTTGTGTACATCTTAAACCTGTACTGCTGAACAGGTATTCAGGATTGATTGATATAGCTGATCGTATTAAAAAGAGTTTTCTTCAGTCTGGTTATTTTAATTGTGTTTATAAATCTGACTCCCTGCCATTGTCTTTTTAACAATTTGTACCTTGTGTCATTCCGTTGCTGCAATAGAGGAATTTATATTCATTCTCCCATGACATATCAAACATTCCTACACCAAAGCAGAGCATTTAATGCAAATTGACAGAACAGAAAGAATTAATATTTTCACAACTGATAGTTGTTTAGTAAAAATAACTTTCCTTTGAAAGTGGAAGCTAGTGCAGTGTCTGTTCAAGATGTAAATTGCTCAGGGTAAATAGAACCTGAAGGCAATAACTTGTTTCTTTAAAATGAGTGCTGTGTTTTGTTAGATACCTTGCTAATATGTTCTTGCTCTTCTATCTTGCTTTGTTAGGATGATGAAGAGCCAAAGGATGAAGCCTTTAGTCCTGATGGAGGTTACATTCCCAGAATCCTTTTCATGGGTAGGGCATCCACAGCTCTTGTATCCACTCATAGGACTGTGTTCTTGCTGTTACCACCTAAATTTCCTGTTTGATTTCTTGTTTCATAGACCCCAGTGGAAAAGTCCACCCAGAAATCATAAATGGGAAGGGAAACCCCAGCTACAAGTATTTCTATACCAATGCTGATCAAGGTATGTGCAAAGTGCATTTTTAGAGATGAAACTCTGGGTATGTCCTAAGTGAAGGACACTCCTTCACTTTTAAGTGGAGAAAAATGACAATACTTTACAGCATAACTGGGAGCTGTTAGATAAAATGTGAGCAAGTGGTTTTCTTATGCCTTGAGGAACCATGTTCAGAATCATGATTCACCTTAATACCTACTGTAATGTCCACAGGACCTAAACTGGCTCTGCAGTTACGGCATGAAAAATCATGCAATTTACATGATCCAGATACAAATAGTTGGGAAAATGCCACAGGACTGTTTGGGGTTTTTTTCTACAGGTTAATTTGTAGATGTACATTCTGTAATGATTTTATTTTAAAACCCTTTCATTCCCAGGACACCTTGACGTTTTTATCTTGAGATTAATAGTTGCCATCTCTCTGTCTAATCTTTCAGTGGTCCAAGGGATGAAGGAGGCCCAGGAGAAGCTAACAGGTGACGCTTTCAAACAAAAACACCTGGGAGATGAACTATAATGACTACACCGAATGATGCTTTTTCATCACTTCAAAACTAGAAGGAAATGATTAAACAGACCAAGAATGTAGATGCACTGGAGGGACATAATTCTCCTGTCAATAATGTTAGGTTAAACCCTGTTTGGAGTTCACACACATACATCACAGTGTTATCTCCTCCTCTGCCTGGCAGTTTGTGCTGTAATGGTTCTTTGCAATTAGGTAGTGTGCAAACACATCAATTTTTGTGTTTGAGCAACCACTAATACTTGGTGTTAAAAGGGAGGTGTGTAGGGCAAAACATTGATTTGAGGACAGTGTGATTGGAATAAGTAGAAGTAGCCAACATTTTGACGCTTAATCAGGGTTGGATCCCTCTTTTCTCACTGGTGTTACGTGTTCCCATTGTTTTTACTGCGGGTTCCTATGAATGGGGCATGTTCCTGGGCCAGATGTTTTTTAGACCTCCCAAACCATGAATTCTGCCACTAAGCCAAGTAGAATAAATTTCATGAATGTCTAAGTAGCATGTGAAATTACTAGCTCTGCAAACATTTTTTGTGTAAAACTGTGTGTGATTCATCTTTATTTGCCTTTGGGCAGAAATCTAACTTCTTCCTCGTGCACTCACCTTTTGATTGTTTTATCAAGTGAGGGTGGGTTATGTTGAAGCTTTACGGGGATTCCCCTTTTATTCTTTGAATGTTTTTTGGCGAATGCCTTGCCATCACATTGTACTGTATTTTTGTACCAGGGTGAAAAATTAAACCTTTTTAAACATAAGCATGCAGACAATGTTTTGTGGTAAAGGGTGTGGCTTTCCATTCTTAAGGATGGGGTAATATATTTTTGTTTATGTTGCAGTGGGTTTAACTGTTGAATGTCACAGCTGAACGTGGTTTCCCCTTTTTATAATTAAAAGACAACAGTTGTTCTTCCATGTAATTACAATTCAGCCATTCTTATACTACCTGTACTGTTGAGGGCAGAGTAATACCTAGTGTTTATCTACTGGAACTGAAAAGAAAACTAGAGGGGAGAAAAAAATCACCAATCGATCTGCTGGTAGCACTTTTCCTAATGTAGGTCGGGCTGCTGTTGGCCGCCTTTGCCACAAGGGCGCATTGCTGGCTCACGATCACTTTGTTCTCCACCTGGACTCCCTCGTCCTCTGCAAGGCAGCTTTTCAGACTCTCAGCTCCCAGCCTCTATTGGTGCACAGGTTATTCCTCCCCAAGGGAAGGACATTGCATTTCCCTTTCCTGAACTTCTTGACAACCCTCTGCCCATTTCTCTGACCTGTTGAGGTCCTTCTGAACAGCAGCACAACCATCTGCTTATCAGCTGCTCTCCCCAGTTTTGTATCATCTGCCGGTTTGCTGTAGGTGGAATCTGTTCATCCAGGTTGCTAATGAAGATGTTAAAGTATCAACCCCAGGGATACGACACTAGTGACAAGCCCTGTTCGGCCCAGCAGTTCTGCCTGTTTTCCATCCACCTCACTGCCCATTTATTTAGGTTGTACTTTATCAGTTTGTCTGTAAGGATGCTATCAAAAATTGGAATAAACCAAAATGAACACCACCTACTGCTCTCCCCTCACACACCAAATTATTCATCTAAAGTTAAAAGTCCTGTCCAAAAGGCACTTGCTGTAACTTCCTAGAGCAAACAGAGAGAGAATTTTCTACGGTCAATTTTTGAAGAGCTATCTGAGGACATTACTTGGGGAATATCGTTGTATACAGTAAACCCAGCTTGTCTACTCAGTCCATTTTTACTATTCAGCAGTGGTATGAATTTTACTTTCCAGACCACTGCCTTTAAGGGGTTTTAGACACCAAAACTCAATTGGGCATTAAAAGACAAGGACTCAGTTGAAATAATGGGATTATTGCACATTACAATTACCTCGCTCAGCTACTAAAGGTTACTCTACAGGTTTTATCCTCTACTTCTCTTGCAAATTGTCCAATAAATTAATGATGAAATTGGACTCGGCAACTATTCTCAAGTTGTATCAGCCTTCAAAGTAAATAATTCAGTGTAAGTCCTGAAAAAGGATTTGCTTTTGCACAGTTGATTTTTTTTTTCCCCAGCTGTATCAGTTGACCTAATAAAAAATAGGTCCCATCTCATGCTCTTTATTTCATTAATAGCCTTAGATTGACACGTCTGTAAAAAATCATTGCTACTGTCTGTTTTACTTGCCACCAGAGGGAGGACTCTGCTTGTTCATCTGGAATATGATTTAACAAATAATAATTTAAAAAGCGATCTCTGATGCAGAATAACAGGGTGCACTGCTGTGATTTTCCAGGCACACTTTTGCAGCAGCTCTGCCTTTGTCTTATCTCTTTGATGAAATTATAGCCTGCGAGATGTATGTCATTTGTCCCTTTCTTTGCAAAATGCTCAGATGTCAGAAACTACATGGTGTCAAAGTAATTTTTAAAAAGTTCTCCATCTAGAGAGATCTCCCTTCAGTGACCGATGTGGGCAATGTACTTCATTTTACATTTCAGACCATCCTGATTCAAAATTACTCTCCTTCACCTCTTCTCTCATGCATGTCCTCTTCTTCAGCACTTTATGCCTTCCAGACTTGCTACTTCCAAAGGAAAAATATATTCCATAATAATCCTTTTTCCTTTTTTTATTCGACTGCCTCCTTTCTCTAATTCTTTCTACCTTCTGTATGTGCAGGCATGGCAGGCTGGTACAGCTTCCCCACCCTCCCTTCTACTTGCTCTTTTCTAGACCATGCTTTTGTCCTCTGTAGCAAAATGGAGCTTGGCACTTGCTAGGCTGCTTGGAATCTAGCTGGGGTCTCAGTGGAATACAACACACGTGCTGCCATGGCTTGATTACTAGGGGCACCTAATTAACAAGTGTAAAAGCTGCTTCACATCTCTGGGTTGCAGGGTAAACTTACTTTGCATCTTTACTTAAATAGTTTTCTCTTTCTACCTGTTAGATTTATACCTGGAAATTTTTAGTTGCTAACTCCTAATGCAGATTCTTTATCCCCTCCTGCTTTTTAATCTACATTAGGTGATACTGCTGGCTGGCATTTTCTGTGCAGAGGGATATATCTTGAACCTTCTATCCAACAGGTGCTTTATGTATGTTGGGTAACTTTATGGATATAAGCAACTCCGCAGGGTTTAGAGGAGCTGCTTACAGGTCAGTGTTTCTTGTAGTTGCGTTTGAAGTTAATTATACACTGCAGCAGCTCAACAGTGTACAGCAACCAAAGCCTCGGATTAGTTTGCCCCCATCAGCTTTGTTTCATGTGCTGCCCATCTGCATATGACTTGCAGAAAACCTGCATACTTACATAATTTTTTTAGATGCATCTTAGAAATCCCCTTGAATTCTCAGCTTCTACTCCTTTTATGGTGGTAAAAAAAATCAAAAGACACTTCAAAATTCTTAGTATAGACCCAGGGAACTGCCAGGCCAAATCAATCTCATGTAAACAAACATGCTGTCAGCTATTTCTCCCAGAAACAATCCACAGAGGAAAAAAAACCCAAAGTTAATTAAAGAGTGACTGGATTGCAGCTAGCCATCTGGCTGCCTGGGAGCAGAGGTTGCTTTGTGCACCTGGGGCTGAACAGGCTTTAAAGGAAGTGTCAGCTAGACACTTGGGAAACCTTTCCTTTGCCACGCTTAACAGCAGGGAACAATAATGCAACAACCAAGAATGCTGCCATGGCCAGAATGTGCCCTCTGTCCTCCTGGCATGTGGAGTTTAGGAGCCATCTACTTGACATGCACCTTCGTCCCCATGGCTGTTTGTTGCCATCGTACCTAGCCTGTATCAAACTGCTAGTGAGCTTCATTCATTGTCCTCAATAACAGGTTGTGTAATGAGTATCACTGAAGTGAGGTATTATTAAACCTGTATGAATACAAGGTCATATACCCTTGGAGGTGATGAAACTTTTTGTAACTTTGGCAAGAGGAGAGGCATTTGCATGTGCATTATGCTATTTATTTGCAGCTGACGCAGTATTATGCCTGATTGGGTTTGCCCAACTAGAAGAACCACTCCAGGGCTATTCCTTGACAACTGTGGCTGTAGGTGGATCAAAACTTGATACTGAGGATGGAGATTCAGAAAGCAGTAAAAGGAGAATTACACCGAGCAGAACTCTATCCAGAGAGTGGGATACAAAGGGGAACACTGCAAGTTCATGCTCATCTCAGAGAAAGCAAAGCCAAAAGATAAGGTTTATCTAAAAATGTGCACCCCACTTCCAGACAGCTGTGTAAATTGTCTTTGGGACTAACTGGACAGGGGAGCTTACTGCCTGGAGAGAACCAGGAAACAATCATGAAAGCCTGTCAAAATGGTAACAGTCTCTTTGTCTGAGAACTATTTGGCACATTCACTCATTCCCCCTTTCTTCCTCCAAGAAATAGGTGCTGACTTGTTAAGCAGTTTAGTCAAATAAACTCAAGTTTGCTTTTCCTTTCAAAGTTTGTCTAGCGTGAGGAGTGGCTGCACACAGTTCCCAGGCCTGCCATTGTCCGGGGAGCACCGCTCCTGCAAGAGGTGGTGATTCACTCCTGCAGCACCAGTCCGGTGCCACCATGTCAGCGTGCCCAGAGGAGGAGGAATCTCCACTGACAGCTGACAGCCAGCTCCTGTGGCCTGTCACACACAGGGGGGACAGGGTCCAAGATTTGAGTGATCCTCTCCAGGCTGTGAGAAACGTCATGGCACAATTTTGTAATAGCTAAATCTGCAGTAGGTTCCTTCAATTAGTGACCCAAAAAAATAAAAAGAGAGAAACCCCAAACTTCTCCATTCATAACTACGCTGGAAAGAAGGACTGGCTGGCCTGTGCTTACACATTCCAGATTCTGACTCAGAACAGCAAGAGAGGCTGTTACGCACCACCCCGTGCTGGCGTCAGCCCAGGACAGGGAAGAGTGGCCCATCAAGCAGCATCCAGGGACCAGGCAAGGCATGTTCCCCGTGTGGGATCACTGAGTAAGTGGGTGCTGTAAAAACAGTCAAGAGTTTTTTGAGTTGCTCCCATGTTCTGCTTTCCTCTGACCAACGCAAGTGTCTCCTCTTCCATTTCTTGTGTCCTTGCCATGATGTGGGGGATGAAGGGCAGAGAACTTCCTAGAGTTTTCCCCTTCTAGAAAAGGGCATGATCCCATTGCTGCCACTCCAAGACAGGGCAAGGGAGTGAAGGCTCACCGGAGCTGCAGGAGGAGCTGGGGCAGGGCTGAAGGGGCAGGACAGTCTGGACTGAATTTGGTTAAGGCCGTAGGTAACTGGTTGCTGGTTAGAGATCGTTTGTTGAAATATACTAATTTTGGGGCCATTTTGCATATGCACAGTATGGTGTAGGTAGACATGCTGCAGAAATACTAGTTGATAAGAGCTGCAGATGTTCTCCCCACTTTCAGAATGTGTTTCGGGACACAACATTAAATTTGTGCATTAAAGAAGCTGCTTTGGCAGCACAGTCAAATTTGGATGTCACTTTATTGTGCTGTTTCTAATATTACGAACAGTTTTCAAAATCACATTTGTAAGGATTTTGGTGCATTGGCTCTGTTAAAGAATATGAAATTCGTGCACATCTTGAGGACACAGCATGAGGCATACATGCTGTTTATTCCACACTGAGGTGAAGAAGCACCTGGGTGAGTGCTACCTACTCAGATAAAAGGGATTTTGTTTTCTCCTTGTGGTTGGCATGTTTTCACCTAGCTTGCCTGGACAACAGCTGGTAATGAGCTGAAACCACTGCTCTGTGTGCAAACTGTACTTCTTTGAGATGCAATTTTGTCTATGTATTCCCAATGCTTATTGTGAGCTTAGACGATGAGTCTCTTAGACTCAGGGTCATTAGTATTATTACTACTTACATCATCGCATATAGCAGACCATCATCCTTGATTTAAATGCTTTGGCACTGCTCTTGCTTTAGTAGTAAATAAATCAATAAATAAAATACTGGTTTTAGAAAAGAGAGAACTGAAAAGATTAAAATAGTTTCCTTAGATCAATTGCACTGTGTAACTTGAACAAGAAATGTTGGGACAGTAGTAGAGTATGCACGTTGTGCTTGATATATGTGCTTGCATGACTGCTGTGAGAGAGTGAGACAGATTCATATGTCAGAAAACAAGATAAAGCAAAATATCTGCTCTTCCCTTCCACCTCCGTGGGCTTGTGGGAGATCTCTCCTGTTCCAACATCTATAAATCTAAAATAATACAGATCCCTCTCACTGGAAGTTTTGTAAGCAACCCACAACTGTACAGTGTTAAGTCCTGAAGGGGAAGGAGAGCTAACAATATTCACTCCATAAATTATAGAAATGTGGCTAAACAAAATGATAGACAGAAAGAACCACTACAAATTCCCTTGTCTCCTAATTACCTGGATGCATCCCTTCTTCTTTCAGTTAGCCCTGACTGAGAAAGGGCTTGCCTATAAACACTGGCATTTCAAGGATGGCATGAAATCTGGAAAAGCCTTTAGAAATTAGCCTGAACAGTGTCTCTGGTGCTTGTGGTGGGATCATGGGATGTTAAATCGGGTGATCACTAAGCAGATGCCCAAGTGAGCCTAAGTCATAATGTGCCCTTTGCATCAAAGGTGTAGGCATCTGCCCATGACCATTTGCCTTCCACGTTGGTGCTTTGTAGGGCTGTTGGCTAGCAATGGTCTTCTAGATTGAGCATCCCTCAGCAGGCAGAAGGCAAAGTATTATCACATTCACCACAGACACTGTGTTGGGTAGGGTGGAAGTCAAGTTTTAGAAAATTTAGAGATCACATTTCCCAGAGCAATCAGTGGATTGCAAGAAGCTAAAAAGACTTTTGTAGTTGTCAAGCCTGTTAGACTGTCTTTGAAATAACTATTGCAATGACCCTGGGATTTTGTTACGCTATCGATTATATTTAAAGTTGCTTACACAAAGCTGACACCTTGCTTAAGGCTTAAATCAGGGCCTGGCTTATACAACAGTTTTAGTTGGGGTCTTGATGGCAAATAAACATTCTAGATGAGGGTAGAAAATCACTCTGATGCTGTCTCCCGGGCCACCTGGCAGATAGCTCTGGCTTGAATGAAATGGAGAAGCTGTATGGCATCTCTGATCTGCAGTGAGGTGCTCCTCGAAGCTTCTCTGCATCTCTCCTGTGATTGCTCCTAAAAAACACACCTTGGCTAGTTATATAGCACTATTGCTCTTTCTGGCTTTCTATGTCCTTACGATTCTTAACTGGTCAGCTGCCCTGGGGAAAATGTATCAATAAAAGCAATTTACAGACTCCTTTAAAGTGGCTGAACTATTACAAAGCTAAAGCTTCTCCAAGGGCTGGTTGACCTACAAGCCAGTCCAAAGACGGTTACTGAAGATCACCAGATGTGAAAAAAGCTTTTACAAGTAGACAAAGCAATCTCTGTCCTGTCTGGGCAGTGTCCAAGCTGAGTCAAAGTGCTGCCCACCAAACACGATAGCACACCACGAGACTTGGAGGAAAGGGAATGGTGCTTTTGGAGACACGGCAAGGTGCAGCGGCACCTGCGCCCCCCAAATTTAGAGCCCTGAGTTCAGAGGTGGTCCCTGCAGACTGCTTAGCTAGGCAATGAGAGAAGATAGGAAACTTGCAGTTCTCGGATCTTTAGTTGACTCCTGCTTCAGCCTCCCCTTGCAAGGAATCGTCCTCTCCTGGTGATGATCAAGAGCCTTGTCTTTGTACTTAAGCGCTTGCTTAAAGCCTGACAGTGGGAAAAGGCGCTGCCATCTTTGCTGGCTGTTTGGGAAGCACATCATTAGTTATGTCAGAGACACGTTTAAAGGCCCGTGACTTTGTTCGCTTTCTCTAGGGGATGAACTCTGAAAACTGTTTTGGTTTCCCGGCAAGGGAGAGGCTGCAATCAGGTCTCTGATGTTGAACTCGGGGTCTGTTTGTAGGATTGTAAAGCCAATAGATTCTGCTGCAACCTCTTCATTGGATCACCTTCAGGAAAGCAACTTAGAGAGATCGCAGGCACCGCCTCATTTTTTTTGTCTTCTCACCAGCAGAGATGTAGTTCCTGATGCCACAGCCACCACTAGGCTTCAGAGTTAACGGTTCCACCGAAGTGAATTCCAGACTGTATAAAGAGTGCGACTTGAGTGACAGATTAGGGTCGCACCTGGGACCGCGGTCCCTGCCACTGGGGCTCCAGGAACACCCGAGGTGATTCACATCCCGGGAGCGGGAGGCACCCGGTGTGCTGGGGCCGCCTGCCTTCCCTTCTGCCATCCTTCCGCTGGCGGCCGGCGGGGAGCGGCGCCGCGCACGGCCGGGACACCCCCTCGGCCCCCGCCGGGGCTCCC